GGTCCCCACGAAGGAAGAAAGTATGTTGATGTTGATGATCTGGTTCTGGACTAGGTTTAGGACTAGGATTAAGATTAGGATTAGGACTAGGTTTCGGACTAGGATTAGGACTAGGATTAGGACTAGGATTAGAACGAGGATTAGGACTGGGATTAGGACTACGATTAGGACTAGGTTTCGGACTAGGATTAGGACTAGGATTAGGACTAGGATTAGAACGAGGATTAGGACTGGGATTAGGACTACGATTAGGACTAGGTTTCGGACTAGGATTAGGACTAGGATTAGGACTAGGGTTAGGAGGCTGGACCAGTGGGACATACAGGAGTGGGGACTAGTTCTGGGTACACTTGTTTATACACACACACATATATATAAATATATACACATATATTTATATATATGTGTATATACTGTACCTATACACACATATATACGTGTATATTTGTATATGTATTTTTGGCACCAAGTGGCGATGGTCAGGGTTTGGTGACTACAGTTCCCATGAAGCTTTGCTGGAGTTGAAGGAGAACATTTAAGGTTTGGTGTCGTTTAAAGAAACGGTGGCTGAAGAATCACACATGTGTGCAGGTGTACCTGTACCTGGGTGTGTGTGTGTGTGTACCTGTGTGTGTGTGTGTGTGTGTGTGTGTTGCAGCTGTTTCACACCGTGCCTGAACCAAAGAGTGGATTTCTGAACCGTCATTTTCACCTGAGCTGAACACCTTTTCACCTCAGCTCGATCTTCTACCAGAGGTGTTCCTGCTCTGCAAACACCTGTCCCATCACACACACACACACCTACACACACACACCCGGTCTTTCTTTTTCTCCTTTTCTTCCTCCCATCACTTGAAAAGGTTGGAGACACAAATGAGGAGAGACGGAGTGAGGAGCAGACGAGGAGAGGAGCAGACAGCAGGGTTCACTCCTCATCTGTTGACCAGAGGAGATAAACACAGACAGAGCAGGAGCGTTCACAGTGGGGGGGGGGGGGGGGGGGGGTTTGAGCCCCCCCCCCATCACTGCAGCGCTGGTCAGTGCAGCTGGACCAGGAGGCAGAGAGCTCGTAAAGCAGATGAGTTTGTCCTTGAAGGTTTACGAGACGGTGACTTTTGATGCCACCGCAGAGCATAAAGCTGAGATTGATGTGAAAATTAAAAAAAAAAAAAAAAAACGAAAACCATTAACGTAGGTAACGTTTAGACAAAATAGTTAGAACAAAAAAATAGAGAAAAAAAACATCAACATTTGTAAAAAAAAAAAAAAAAAAGTAACGGATTAATTCAAAGAAACAAAAAAAACTACCTTTAAATACTGAGAAGTCGCTAAATCTTTAGCAGAGATTTTAGCAGACAACCAGGTGTAGTAACACATGGCTGCCAGCAGGGACGCCAGAGTTGACTTCAAACTCCAGCCTGATGTAAATCTGCACCAAAGTCCATGGAAGGGGGCAAATACGCTGCTCTACTGCCACCTAGTGCAGTCAGCCATCCATCCATCCAACCATCCATTTTCATCCACTTACCCGTTACCGGGTCACGGGGGTACCAACCTGACCGGGATTCGAACTTGCGCAGGAGGTGAACCCTGGGGTTCCACACCAATGACAGAGACGTTGCCTCTGGGCCAAACTGCCACTCTGTCAGTAATGATGGAAATAATTAAGGTTACGAAACAAGACAGTTAGGTCTGACAGACAGACAGATGGTGGCAGCAGTGGGTCAAGAACCTCTTAGAAAACGGAGAGTTTGGTCTCTGGACGTTGACTTTTTGAAAGTTTTTTTTTTTTTTTTTAAACCGTTCCAGGTGTAGTTTTATGAGATGAGCTTCGTGGTGATTGGCTGAAATCTTTTTTTTTCCATGTGTCTCATTATGTCATGATTTAAACCAGTAATGACCCAAATCCAGGCTCAGACGACGTTAAGTGAGAAACAAGGATTTATTTTCTAATTCAACAAAGAACGATCGTTCAAGTCAATCTGGACGTTAGTGACCACGCTAGCTGAACAAACGACCTGACGACGACCACTGGGAGAAAGGCCGGGGTTTTCATGCCGTCAGAGTGATGGGTTGATTGAAGGCAGGTGTTCTTCAGTGATTAACCAGTCAGAGTCAGGGGAATGTGCCACGCCCACCACACAGACAGAGACAAGTGCACGACACAAGACTGGGGGAAACACAGGGAACGACTGTCATCGTGACACACTGACCGTCGTGAACTTCAGGCTTGTTTGTCGTACTTTGCAGAGAATGATGGGAGTTTAATTTTTGGAAATGGTAATAGAAGAAAGTGACGATCCTGTTTAGAAGAAAATAAAGGGAAAAAAACAAACAAATAATAAAACGTTTGTTTCTAAATTGTTTCAGCTTTAGGCTGAATCTGTTGTTAAATGTCGCTAGTTTCAGCTCATCTTTAGCGATCATAGCTAGTTAGCGATCATAGCTAGTTATATAGCTCACAGCCTGGTACTGGTCCGCGGTCCAGTGGTTGAGAACCCATGCTTATAAGAAT